TTCTAAGCATTTTGGTGTTGTTCTTTTGTTTTCCGTTATTTTTCCTATTTTCTTCTTGTTTTTTGTTGTGCAGGTGGAAAATTCCACCTGCACAACTAACTAGCTAAGTTAGTTAGCGACAAGTGAGAAAAAGCGGAATTCCTTTTCGAGTTAGGATGAATCCAAACGGGGCTTAAATGTACAGCGGAGCAACTTACCGACCCTTTAAAGGTTGAAAATTCCACAAAATTCGTATTCTGGGCAAAAGTATGGTTTGCAAACATCATTGGATAGAAGGGTTCGTTACCTACCCGTAGGAAAAAACGGAACTCAATTCCGAGTCCAAACGAGCCCGAACGAGCCTGTGGGTGGCATGTTCGGAAAATATAAATAAAATTTGCTACAACAGTTATATTGGTTGAACCGCGTGTGAGTGGCATGTTCGGTATGATTCCACGGGATGGTATTTAATCGCGTAATATTGCGTAAAATAAATGACAATGCTTCATACTTTGAATATGAGGGGATGCGAAAAATTTAAAAACTAATGTCCCGACAATAGGTTTAAATTTTTCCCCGGAACCCGACATATTCAAAGTATGAAGCATTGTTAAACAGTACTCATGTTCGTGTACGTAGAGTATCGAGAATACCACAAACCGGAAAAAACTTAACGAATGAACCGACTAAAAAATAGTAGTTTATTCGTACAAATTTTACTAACAAATACTTTTTGCAAGTTATACGTGTCACATTTTTCACACACACTCATGCATTTATGATGAATGAAATCCATATTAAAAAGCAGGAAAAATAAATACTCCTCCAATGACAATGCGAAAATGGTAGGGTAGCTTAGAAGTGAAAAGTACAAAACTAATGACCACATGTAGCCAAATATTACACATCCAAAAGATAGGCTTTATCGTTTTTTGCCAAAAGGTAGCCAAATATTAGAAGTCCAAAAGATAGGCTATAGTACGGGCCACAATAACAAAAAGCCAAATAAGGCAAAGTTTTGGAGCATACATAATGATTCCAAACTACAACCTGTTTTCGAGTATCATCTTCACCATTGAAGCTTTTTCATCTTCGTCGACGCTAAAAAAGACATCCATCTCTTCTTTGTTCTTACAAAAGTACTTTGTGACGATAAATTTTTGTTCCGTACTCAACATGGGAATTTTTTTCAACGCCTCGTACAAAACCTTCCGTTGCTCCTTCGCGTCGTGTTGGACCCCAATACGTTCCACCATTTGACCCCAACGTTGATCGGCTTTCTCGCATAACGTAGAGAGTAGGCCGACCACTTCAACCTCCACATCTTTAACCCGTTTACGTTTGCCTACCCGTTTTCCCTTCCCGGATGCACTACTCTCAACACCCTGTGGCGAAGATGACTCAATTTCATTGTCATTGGTTTCGAAGGCAAGTCCAACTCCGCCACGCCTGACATTTTGTGTGGGGGCATCATCACCCGTATTACTTAGTACCTCTTGCACCGCATCAGCGAAACCTTCAGCACCTTCCCCTGTTGCGCGGTCCTTTCCAAATATGTCCACCCAATCACTGTAAAAGGGCCATGGCTTGTTTCGCAATCCTTTAGCTTTCGAATACACCTGCAGTCATACAAAGCTTGTTGTGTAAGCATAGCACCTTTAAGAAATATTGTTGATTATGAGCAAAAATAAATTCATCAAATAATTTATTTTCCATGTTTAATGCAAACCTTAACATAATCGTTCCACACCGCATCTTCTACATCAAGTAGGTGGCCAGTTTCACTCCACCCAACTCCGGAACCGCTCTGAAGTAGTGGTGCAAGTAAACCATAGTTTTTTTTCCATACCGTAATCTTGGACGAGATGTGAGGCTCGGCTCTAATGGTAGTTCCCGGGAATTGTTGTTGCATATATTGTTCTAAAAACAATGTGTAGCCCGAACGGAACCCGTTGTCCGCTTTCATTCCACGTGCAAGGAGATCTTTCAATCCTTGGATTAATGCACGTTCTTCTTCAAACGTCCAAGTTCGCCGTGGGTTGTTAGTGTTCGGCCCTCGTCCCACGGTAGTCGTACACTCCATCACTAGTAATAAATTTACAAATCATGATTAGTCCAACAGTAGTAACATACAACAAACGAATCATAAGGGACAATAAATACAATAGAATGAAGTTGGACAATTGTACAAATAATTCAAATTCTGGGGGGTATAACATGAATGTCCTTCCACAACAAACAAGGATACGCAACTACATTTCATTTTGAGTCAAAGGCCTCCACATAAAAAACATAAACATTCGAGTTTAAGCAAAAAAAATAAAATGTAACAAAAAAAAAAAAGTCCGAGCATAATTCAATTGGTGCGACGCCACTCATTGAACATTGACATAGCTAGTGTTTCTCTCCAAGTAGTCCACTCATTAGTAGGCTCAACGACATCAACATAATCATTTGGGTGGTCGTGTGGTTCCTCCGTGTTTGACTCCATTTCAAAAACATGATCGTCACCATCCATAGG